CATCGAGACGATAGTACCGATCGTTTTGGTATCATTCAGTCTCCAGGCGTCTCGTGCAGAGGTATCTTCACTGGTGCTGCCGTCCTTGTAGGTGGTTACGACAGGGTCAGGCATAATAATTGTACCATCACAATGCCCCCAAAGGCCTTGGGACATGAGGTACGCCTTCATCTGTTGGGACCAGAGCGACCAGTTCGAGCCATCGAGGACGGGGACAACGGCGATCAGATTGTTCGACATTGTTTGAGGAGCGATTGAGAGATCTGAAATCTGTATTGAGATCTCATCAGCATCAGCGAAGCTATGCAGCCCGATAAGGGCGCACTGCTCCATGCTGTTGGCTCCATTAGGGAGTTACCCCAGGATCGATCATCAAGCCTGATGGCTGCTGATAACAGCGCCTACAGCGATGGTCACGCATCAAGCCACACTGCAGCCTGTGAGGGCGCATAGGGCGATGCACAGGTGAGCGAGGCGCAACGCGCTGCAGCGAGTTACCGCGCAGACGCAAGCTGCCTATTTGGGCTCATAACCTGATGAAGAGTTATGGAGGCAGCAGCACGCACAGTGCGCCCTACACAACTCACCTGTATTGGTTGGATGCTGTAGCTAGTGGTAAAGCTCGTATGAACGACCCTTTTTTCATTAGGTAGCAGAGCTGCAGGGTTTATATACACTGTGGCCCATAGGCTGACTAAGCTACGTGGAATATCTATAATCCTACTGAGCTCCACCTATGATGTCACTGACCCACATGAGCTCCGTGCCTTTGTACAATAATGGAATATACCAGAATATTCCAGAGGGTTCCGGTATGTTCTGGTACGTTGTAGAACCTGGCAGCTAAGTCAGCGCCCAGTTCAACACTGTGTACTGTGCTGATCAGTTTTTCAAGTCTGACGGATTCGAGACCAAGTCCTCATTCAGCGGTGGCGCCACTAAAGCCAAACATGGCACGCCGGGATGTGCCGGTCGGTCGAAAAGTGGTCCGCATATTGGGGGTGCCAGAACCCCTCCCAAAGGAGGGGCATTCACGGTGGTGATTCAAGACGTTCAATAACTTGACGTTATCATGAACGTCCTGTCACTCGGATTAAAGTGTACAGCCGTTTGCAGATTGATGGGCCCCCTTTTCAAAAATCATTTACAGTCGGACCACGTCGGACAAGTAATTATGAGTCCCCGAGAGAGGGAAATCAGACCATCTGGACTTCCCCACCTTCCTCCGACGTCCCTGGCACCCACTCCGACCCACTCCGACTATACGCGATTTTCTGAATTGGTGGTCTATCGATCTGCAAACGGCTGTAAGAGTCAAGTGATTTCAACTTGACTGCTTCCGTCAAACCCGAGCGGGCTCAACAGACGTTGACAGCCGCTTGCAGATCGATAGACCATCAATTCAGAAAACCACGTATAGTCGGAGTGGGTCGGAGTGGGTGCCAGGGACGTCGGAAGAAGGTAGAGAAGTCCAGATGGTCCAATTTCTGTCTCTCGGGGACTTGAAATTGCTTGTCCGACGTGGTCCGACTGTAAATGATTTTCAGAAAGTGGGCCCATCGATCTGCAAATGGCTGGAAGAGTCTTGTATTCGAGCTTCGCTTGTAGGATCTGAAACAGTTTCCTCCTATTTCAATATAAGTCCGCAAACTGTAATCCTTCTTTCTAGCGCATGCTCAATGCGTTCATAGGACAGTGAGCAGGTTCATACGCCCTCGCATTCGGATCTCGACCAAGGAAGGCATGTCCTCTGCTGTAACTACTCTACTCAGATACGTAGATGACGAAGCACTAATATTCATCCGGGAGGCTCTGGATATGTATTTACCTGGAGTGTACAACAGACAACTCGGGAGTACTCTTTCATAGTAGGATTCGCCGACTCCTTGTAGATGAAGTCACAGGGCAAGCCAGCGCAGGTTAGTCTCTGGTCAGTCTGTCCATACTCTACCTACTTCTCAACATTCGCCACCGTTCAGCGCCTTTGAATGAGCTTGGCCATTCGAAACGCTCCCTAATGCCGTCCATAGAGGGCCGCAAGCGTTGGCAGTGCTGGGCAGAACGACATATGACCTTCTCTCATTATTCTGATCCCGTAATCCTGGCATCGAAGTTGCATATTAGTATCGCAAATAACCTCTGCTCAATCTTCCTGCAAACATTATGCAATAAACTGATATAAAATGACATCTCCAGTGGGCAACGTTTTATAAAATCACTCTGTGTATCTTGGCTCGTGGGAGATATCGTGCTGGCATGCAGTGAATAAATGCATCAAACAGTACTTGCGGCGTCTGCTTCACTCGACTTTCGTATACTGCTTCCGAATACGGCCGGGATAATGACTGCGGTGGTGGATGGATGAGAGAGAGTATTGAAAGAAATAAAGGAACAGACCACTTCAAGACTTGTGAAAGGGTTGTGATGTCCATGACGATGTCCAGCCATTCTCTGCCAGAGCATCGGACGTAGATAGAACTCCCGGGAATCGGGGCCTCTGCACACAATTTTATCTGAACGGGGATATCCAGGGAGATTCGCATGCCTGGAGAAAGACTGAAGGGGAGGTAGCCGAACCAGGACGAGGAATACTCGATGATCCTTCCACCTGCGACCTCAACCCGTTTCTCAAACCCTTGGAGGTCCTGGCCAGCAGAGAACACAAATGATGCTGACCGTGCCATTTCAGACCAAACTTCGTTGCTTGAAGATAGTCCCATAACGTCAGCCAACAGCTATTGCTAGGTCAGTAGTGCGTGTGATAGACTGACGGGCTAATCTACTTGGAAACTGGTACAGAATTCGAGAGGTACAAGTATTCCCTCTCCGGTTGGGCTAAATACGTGGATAGGTTCCCTCCCACGCACGATCCCGCCTTCCCAGGAATACCCAAGGGTCGGAGGACTACTTGCAGCAAGGCGAGAGGTCCTCGAATAGCGCGTCACAGTGGAATCCGCTGTCACGACGAATGAACGTCTGGTTCGACTGAGGAAATGCTGGGTCAATCGTACAATATAATGGACACGGGGACGTACCTCGTACTGGAGCTCAACGTTACTGACAGCTTTAACCGTGCAGCTTGTATTGCTCCCTATATATTTTTACTTCCTGCGGGGCGAACATACTCTTTCCTGCCTTCCGTAACAAGGCGGGCCAGGACTTGTTGTTACTGAACGAACACTCAATCTCCTTTACGCGTACATGCACGGAATGGACAAGCGTCCTGCACGTAGTCAGAGTGCCAGTCAAGTCTTCGTTGGCCCGAACATCAAGATATCGCGGGGGAGATGGACAGCTTCTTTGCGAGGGCATGGGCTATACCAAGTAGTGTCGCCAGGTCTCCAGTAGACCCATGAGGAACTTATATCCAGCATTACTTAGACCAAACGAGGAGGGCCCCGTTCCGCAGACGCTTTTCGTGGCAGAGGACAGAAGAGGGGACTCACCTCTCGCCCAAATGTACCCCCAAGGGCACGAGGCGATTCCTGTCTTCTCAATTACACCGATATATGACAGCGCATCTTAGGCGCGGGTTGCCTATGATCACGGAACGCTCTGTTACATGGGAGATGAGACCCACATCTCTCAACGATGACATACAGACGCCTAGGTAATTGTCCAGTGATGTAGAACGGATCGCACCGTTAATCATGACCCGAAGCCTTCGCTTCCCTATGTCATATATATATGATCGGCATGAGCATATCCTCCAACGTCCTGCTCCGACGCTCGGGACAACTCCGGATTCCCATAACGCCGCGATAGAGTTGATATATAGTTAGAAGAACGCACGCAGGAATGTCCTTTTCCAGCTCGACCTATCAACTTATCTGTACGTCCCAGCGGCAGCCTCTCAGAACGCGATGTACGACGAGGTGGGGCCTGCGCATATTTGTCGGGCATGATGATAGACAGTCTAGCCGGGTATACGCAACGTGCTCGTGAGATGCCTCCGGTTCCAATTGTAAATCCAAGTTATTGAATGGTTATTGTAACTGCCATTGCTATGCACGCGAGTGCAACATAAGGCGATAGACGCTCCCCTAGCACAGCAAATCAGTTGTCACGCATCGAGACTGACAAAGATTACGCACCAATTCGCGCCGACATCCATAAAAGCCCGAGGAATCTATCATAATCCTTCAGCACGCGTCACGGTCTCAGCAACACCTTCTTACCCTTCCTTGTTCCTATCAATCAAACGCGGAGCAACAGCGCGAATGTAGGTGCATGTGCATATCATCAACAGAATGACGAGCAGAAGAGATTGAAAGTTGAATAAGGCAGACTAGAGTTGGACTTCCATAAGCTTGGGTAAGGGAGACAGCCCAGCACGGCTCACCATGTTCTGAGCCGTCCCGTTAGGCTAGCGTCGTGGGTATCGACCTAACTTCAGTCTCTGCAGTCGGCGAGGAAAGGCTACGGGATGATTTAGGGTAATGCGAGCTGATGGTCGAAGTGAAGAGACCGAGAGCGCGTACCAGGCAGGCATTGCGCTTGACACGGGGCGTGAGAAACAAATACCATTTGTGTCACACACTTCTGAGTCCAACCTCACTGCCACAATTTATTACAGTCGCGGCTCATTTCATGAGGCACACTTATATCCGAACAACATTCGCCCTAAATAATATTACCGTCATCTCGTAGCTCATTGGAGATAGAAGCAAGCAATAGTAAAATTGGGACCGTGTTGAAACGGCGATCCTAAATTCAAAGCCCGAGCACATAAAGACAGAAGCGATGGTACAAATTGAGAGAATACACAAGCCCGTTTGCAAAGCACCTTCCCAGCAGGAGGACCTTCCCCTAATTAACACTCGATTCTGTAAGCATTAAAGGTCACGGCAGGTGCAGCGATGCAGGCCGGATACTTGGGGGTAGTGCTGTACTCCCACTCCGCCACAAAGTCGTACTCTGGGCAGGAATGATCGCCCTCGTTGTAGAAATACACATTGCAAGAAGCCGCAGGCAACTGTATTATGAACGACTGTGCACCTTGCACCGCAGTGCACGGCGAGTTTCGGGACACAGTGTAGTCGCCGTTGATAACACTTCCGGCGATCAGGTTGGCACTGGGGCATCCAGTACCTGCCGGAGAAGTGTAAGGTGCAGCGTAATAGTATTCCGGCGGAGGGCTGGCAAATGCAACGGGAACCAAGGCCACCGCAAGGACCGACAGGAACTTCATAATGTCTAGAAGAGAGATGATGGATGGTGAGATCGATCTTACTGACATCCGACATGAATATATGAAGAATACCTGGATTTCTGTGGTAGCGGTCGAAGATGACTTCTCCGAGAATATACTCAGCTAACCGATACTAATGCCAGTATTAGGACCGTCTTTCAGTATTTTCTATCGCTAGGAAACTCACTGGAGAGAGGGCACAAGTTTGCGATTTGGTCTGGTAGGTTGTTTGCGGAGCCCCTTATATAGCCTGTAGTACCATTCCCATCCAAGCTATACGGGGTGAAAGAAATGCCTGTTCACCGTCACGGGTCAGTGGCCGCTATTGCCACACCTGAATAGCAGATGTCGGTACGTAGGATCCTGTCCTGGAGTCAGTCAATCAGAGCGAGGTTCAGGTACGTCGACGCCACCAGTAGCCTCATGGAGAAGAGAAACGAAAGTCTAATGACTTCGGTTCTCCGCGTTGACATGCAAACCAGAGAAGACTGTCAGGGATGAATGGGATCACAACCCATGGTTTGAATAGCTGCGACCACTCGGGGGATGGGGCTTCGCGAAAGTACTGATTTGTGTTGGCTTAGCTTAGCGCAAGCACGCAGAACGAACCTCCTCGAGGAATGGTGGACGCTCGAAGGCGCCCACAGATCCGCGAGGGGTATGTCTAGCCCTCGTCCCCCTGTATGAGCATACATTCGTCGGGCGAGTAGTCCGTCGTGAGAGGTTCCTGAGCGGAATGTCGTGGTGCCCGTAGACAAGGAACAGTAGACGCGGCTATAATTAGTAGGCCAGTAATGAATGACTAGTAGGAAACCAGAGGCTTCACGCTTGGACGAACTCCTTTGGCCGGGCGGATAATGGTAAATTCAGGAAACCAATTCACTGTGCGGCAAATCATGCGTGTAGGGTCGGCAACCGTGAGTAAAGCTCAGTGGGGACCCCAAGTTGAGGCCTAGGAGCGCGGTGCACTCAGACTCTAGTATGACCCTAAGAATGAGCCGTCTTCACCGGGGCTTCTATTACATGGAAGTCCTGATGACCCGGAGTACAATGTCAAACGTCTGAACTGACCAAAGACAGACTAGTCGCACAAAACGTGACAAAAGAACATAGGCGTCTTCATGGAGGGTCGACCGGTGATCGCCCGTGTGTCGCTGAAAAAATTGTGGCTGTCCGGTTGTGCCCGAAGCCTAGTTTCAGACTCCGAGTGTTGCCGACGAACTCCAACAACGAGCATTACCAAGGGGCCAACGCGGGTATTACCGCCGACGTCAACCCTATTGTCGTTGTCCCTTTCCAAGTTTACGGGGTCCCGATTTTCACTTTCTTGCACGGTTTGCGTGCACTTTCTATTTGCGACTTCCCAGAGCTATATTGAAATCTGAATCTTCTTCTGTACCGTTGAGTAGCATTCTAGCACAGGTCTACATACTTTTTGAAGTGGTAGGACATACGCTATACCTTTGATAAATGCATCAAGCAAAATCTGAGGACGCGAGCTGTAGACCATTTGCCTGATTCGGACAAACAACGCAGTGTGTCTGAAAACCGGCAATGCAAGACCTCATTCTAACAGTCCTCGTTGAATGGTGCAAGGATTGCTGGTAGTCTTGAATTTGCAGTTGTATATTGTATCATGTGGAGTCTGTAGCCTGTCAAAGTATCTTGTGCTTTCTATACATCAGCAAATTTGAAGAAATATGTATCCATCAAGCCCTGCGGTCATGGTCACAACGGACCTTTGGCAAATATGCGCCCACCAACAGCTCTGTCAAGAGAACTACTATATTATAAGCACTGTTTATAACCAGTCTTATGCATCAGGAAGTAGAGAGATGTTCCTATATGTCTGAGTCAGTGCAGAAATATCATCGACTGAGAAGTGTTTGGCATCTTACAGCACTGAACAATGTGATCTTAGGGATCAAAGATATATATAAGTAGTTATAAGCTATTACCTATGTGTACATGGATGACAGAGGCTTGTTGATTCCCGACAATCAACCACACAAAACATAAACCCAGGCAGAAGAGGAGCCGCCACAAATTGCCTTATCAAGGTGGTCCTCTCTCTTATGTGATGCTTTCGGGGTCCTGTTCACTTTAGGGGGTTGCCGTCGCGCGTTTTCCACTGGGTACAATACCCATATTGAGCCATTGAGAAAGTGTGAAAGGAACCGGACAAAGATCAAATTTTGTTCATAGTGTTGCCTTGCAAAACAAATGAAAGTTCAATGAACAGTGCTGAACAAAGATCATATCCTGTGTCACAATCAGATTTTTGTGCACTCAAAAGTAGTATTATTCTAATTCATTTCACTGACTGTGCAATGGACAATCATGAAAAAAGTTTGACCTTTGACCGGTTATTTTCAAAGTTTTGTGCATGCTCAATATGGGTGATGTACCCAGTGTTCTGGCCGTTGGCCCCTTGAGCATTACAGCCATTTGCAGATCGATGGGCCCACTTTTTGAAAATCATTTACAGTCGGACCACGTCGGACAAGCATTTTCAAGTCCCCGAGAGACAGAAATCAGACCATCTGGACTTCTCTACCTTCTTCCGACGTCCCTGGCACCCACTCCGACCCACTCCGACTATACGTGGTTTTCTGAATTGATGGTCTATCGATCTGCAAGCGGCTGTAAATACTAGCAGTCTAACCCTGGTACAGTGCTCGAGTACGGTGTTCATGTTGCAGGGTTTCTTGCTTTCTTGGGCGTTCGGTGACCAGTATGCAGATACCAAGAGGTAGACACCATGCGCACGCCTGGCCTGACGGCCACCGGGATTATCGCATCGTTAAACTCTGGGCCACTCCGTTTTCCGCGGCACGTCCGAGTCAGGAAGCTGGCAGCGCAGGTTGAGCAAGTATGGGTACCGTGATTATGGTTATCTATTCCAATGATCTGCATTTATCGCAACGTTGACAACACATATATACAAATTGGTGTAGTACACATGGGTAGCTATCCTTACATACCATTGTCTTCTGAGCATCAGGACGCTGATTATTCTCCATCTTCTAGCAACCTGGCTGGATGAATGGTACGTGGACTACCCCTTATCAGTGGCCGCTGACTATTGACACACAGCCATAGGGTACGTCTGTCGCTAGCAACCGTGTTCTTTGGTCAGCCAGGAGCGCAAAGTTCAGGGATGTCATGACCGTTGTGGATGCATACATGAGACAAAACAGCAGTGAGCTCCACTCCCCCTTTGTCGTACAATGCAAATCAGAGAGCGCCGCCAGGGATAATGCATCGGCCATGTAACTCTCGGGATTCTGAAGTCCGAATGGAGGATGCTAGTCGGCGAGATGGAAGGAGGATGTACCTTAAGGCTTGCTCTGAGAACGTCTCGACAGTGAAAGGAATGTCCTGACATACCTCTAAGCCCCCAGTGGCACATCCGTCGTGATGGCTGGGCGGTCTTTAGACGGACACAGGCCTAGGGGAGGGTGTGACCATGTACCCCGCATATGTAGGCACTGACCGGCTCTGGAGATGCTCTATCCGTCTCAGTCAGTGGTATTGGATGTCACCCATTCTTCCGACCGGAAAGCACTGACTACTGTCTGCTCATTTCTGGCACATACCTATGTCTCCCTCCTGCCTTGGACCGGAGACATTTGCACACTCGAAGAAACCCATAGGCAGGTAGTGTACCACCTACTTTCGCTGCCAATCGTTTCTGCCCATCCGAGCGTGAACCCTGGTTCGACAGTTCCAAATTGGGATAGTCGATTACCGTATGCGATCTTCCTATACACTTTCGAGGAGCAGGTGAAGGGATTTTGAAAGCCCGCCGAATCCACAATGTGATTCAGAAAGTAAGTTGCACAAGCCTTTCTCCCTCTCTCCACTACCCGCGCACGCTACACCCACTTTGCAACTAGCTGTCTGGCCCGCGCGCCGACGTTCTTTCCACTCTGGATTCCTCAAGCATACCGCCGGCGGTCGACACTCCAAAAATCGAGAAACAAGCAGAAGACGGGAAAACTGCGATACCCAAGAAAAAGATGAACGTCTGGCACGCGGTGATGGTGTTCGTACTTTGTGGTGTTGTCGTAGCTGCTGGCGCGAGCCAGATTTCGTTCCCGCATTCCACCACTGCTACTCGTAAACCAGCTCAAGACGTCACAGAGACAAAAGGTACTGCAGCCGGATTGTATATGCGCATATATGCGGCTGAACTTCGAACAGGAGTAATCGCACAGATGTTTGAGTGGACATGGTAAGTTTGTTACGCTTCCGAGACGTCCCTCAGATCCAATGCGTCGTGCAGGGACAGCATCGGCGACGAATGCCAGGCATTCTTGGGTCCTGCTGGTGCGTAAGAAGTATGTATTTTGAGTTTGTCGCTAAACAGTTATGCTAGGATATGCATATGTCCAAAGTGCGCGTCTTGATGCACAGATGTCACCTCTTCCTGACCATGTGCAGCGAGTCCACCTCAAGAGCACGTTGAAGGCGACCAGTGGTGGACAGACTACCAACCCGTCTCTTACACTCTGACCTCGAAACGTGGCAATCGTCAGCAATTTGCCAACATGGTGACGAAATGTCATGCCGCTGGAGTGAAAGTAATTGCAGGTTTGCGTTTCTTCTATAGCGCGTATTCTATATATCGGACAACGTATCTCAAATAGATACCCTGTTCAATCATATGAGTGCTATGGACTCTGGTATGTTTCTGTTTGCGGCTTGGGGGAGGCGCGACGCTGACCTACTAATCCCAGGCAAGGGCTCTGGAGGAAGTTGTACGTCGTTATGCGCGCGACCCAGAGGACACCGTATTGAGAGCCTAATCATAGCATTTACTCACTACAACTATCCCGGAATCTACCAGAACCAAGCAAGTTCATGTCTTCACTTGCTTTCCGACGCTATCTAATACCAGGCGAAGGATTTCCACCATTGCGGTCTTGAACCTGGCGACGATATCAGAGACTACAACAACCGGAAGGAAGTGCAAACCTGCGAACTCGACAACTTGGCAGAGTAAGTGTATAATGTCGTTATCTGGGCGCTACTGATGGAAAAGCATGTGGCTCGAAATGTAGCTTGGCTACCGATACCGAGTACGTACGCTCTCGGCTGGCGGCCTACGGTAATGACCTGTTATCACTGGGCGTCGACGGCATGAGGCTGGATGCTGCTAAACGTTCGTGTTCTTATCAATATGCTAATTCACTGTTGAGACCGAGTGCGCCTTACATGAACGTTCTCACCCTTCTCTCCCAACCAGATATTGCTGCCACTGATCTCGCGGATATCACGCGGCGTTTCGCCGGCAAGCCCTATATTACTCAAGAGGTAAGTGAGCTCAGTATTCATAGGGACCGTTCGTCAATCTTCTATAGGTGATCTATGGGGAGGGAGAACCTATACAGCCAACGGAGTACACAGGGATCGGTAAGTTATGACCGAGTCGTTGAGTCGCATCAGCTAACGTAGGTTGGTAAGGTGACGTCCAAGAGTAAGGACCTCATTTCCCTACTGGACGTGAGTCGGGGCTAGAATCATACCAGGTTCCGGTATACATACATGGTGAAGGATGCATTCTCCAAGTCCGGGATCTCGAATCTGCAGAACTTGAATGATAAGGGTAAGTTTACATTGGGCGTCATCCGGACTTACGAGTATCCTTTTAACGCTTGTCTAGGTTGGGTCGATGGCTCTGTCGCCAACGTCTTCGTCGCCAATCATGACACCGAGCGGGTGAGCTCCGAGCAGGCCGCGGCATTGATTTATCAGATGACTGAAAAATCTCTAGAATGGGGGAGGTCTGAATTACAAAGCATCATCAAACACTTACATTTTGGCGACTATATTCTCCCTGTGAGTAAGCTTTCTCCTCCGGTATCGAAATTCCGGGCCCATATATGTTACAGCGCTCATCCCTACGGGACGCCATCGCTGCTGTCAAGCTACGACTTCTCCGACCAGGATGCTGGAGGGCCCAATGGCGGTATGTATAACTGTCTCTCAGCGCGCTCACCCAAATTGAACGGCTCGCGTAGGTGCAGGGACGTGCTCGGCGAGTGGCGGAGCGAATGGATGGTTAGTCTACACAGTACCCATCCCCATACTGCGGTTCACGGTATATTTCAGGCTTTGCCAACATCGTTGGACCGCCTTCACCGGGATGGTCTGGTTCCGGAACGTCGTTGGCAAGGAAGCGCTTGGGAACTGGGCGTCGTCGGGCAGTCAACAGATTGCCTTTGGTCGAGGTGTGTACGGTGTTGTCGTCTACTTCCGTTACCGCTGATGATTGCATTGCAGGCTCCAAAGGATTCGTCGCCATCAACAATGGGGACTCATCGTGGACCATGAAGTTCTCAACGTCCTTACCGGCCGGAACCTACTGCGACGTTATCCACGGCACGTCTGCTCCTGGGAAGTGCGAGAATCCTGTGTAAGCGTTGTTTATGAAGCATTCTTCTTCAAGCTATGTAAACAATGAATCTACTAATAGATATACCGTGGCTGATGACGGTACTTTCTCCGCGACCGTTCCGGCTCGCGACGCTGTTGCTCTTCACATTGGAGCTATGCCAAGTTCTGGTGCTGTTCATCAGCGCAGGGAAACGTGAGTGAAGGGCTTATTCACTCCCAGTCCAGATGATCAGCAACTGGATAGGTACGGAGGCGAAGTCGACGTCACGCTTCCTCCTGATTCTCGAAGACCCGCGCCGACTAGTGTCTATCGCCTGTAGCATTATGCCATTGTCGCATAGCCCGCATTGTATCGTCTCGTCTTTCACGCATATTATCATTCCATTCATTTCACAAACTAGAGATGTATCCGTATCACAGGATAGTGATAGTGTAGCATAACACGACATTATTCAATATTCGACCCGGTTATTAGTACCAAAGCATGTGAGCGTCAGAGCAGGCCGGATATTCACGACTGAAAAGGGAGTAATCGCAAGCGCGGTATGCAGAGAACAACATACCGAAGCTGACATGATACATTAAATGTAGAACATAGTCTCCCGGATATCAGGATGCAGACCCTCTCCCCACGCTCGCTTCGCATCCTCGAAGACGCGTCTCTTGGTTTCATCTCGATCTTGCCTTGTACTCCCTGTACTCGATGCCTTGTCATCGCCGAGGTTGAGAAATTCGTTGATGTAGAACCGACCGCGCTCGCAAGCAAGATCGGCGTAGTATGCCGGCGGAATGAGGCTTACCGCCTTCGTCGCCCGAGCATACAGATAACTCTGCGTATGAGCGCCCTGCTGGAGGGCATCGGCCTTGAGATCATTCTCATCGTAGATCACGATATAGTGCGTCGCTTTGACGGTTCCCTGGAGCCCTGCGTGTGCTTGGAGGTAGAAATCGAAGCCGTATACTTCAGTGACGCCTCGGTCCACTACTGTCCCTGGTCTCGTGTTCCCGTTCCTGTCCGCGAAGGCTGAGTCGGTGGGATAGAACCTTGCATGGTGCCGTTTCCCGCATATAGCGATGGAAAGCTTCGGACGGTACGCAGGAGACTGCCGAACCTTCTTGAAGGCATCGAGAATTTGTGGGAGCTCTTCACGAATCACGGCATCGTACTGACCCTGAGCATGGTGCACGTTAGGAGGAAGCTGAAGCGTTTGTATTGTTGCACGAACCTCGGAGACGCCGTCTCGGAATACGATGATTCGCTCAGGTAGGCGTCTGTTCATTTTCTCGTACAGTTTCAGCCGCTCGACCATCATATCCCTCAGCTCTTGAATCATCTACAAAAGCCATGTCAGCATAGCTGTTGTGGTTTTTATCAAACAGGCATCTGACCTCAGTGAGAGTCTCCTGCGGACGTAGACTTGCAGGATACTGTACGAAATTATCGTCGATACTAGCCACGACCGCAGCGATGGAGGGAGTGCCAGGAATACTCTTAGGGCCAGCATGCGTCACGTCCATTCCGACCAGCATAGTCTTCTTATCCGTGAGCCACCCAATGTCTTGCCTATCCAGCAGGTGATTTATACCGCCCAATTTCGCGTTTACCTTTAGTGCGACGTTGGAGAAGTACTGGTCTTGTCCCCTATCTTTCAAAGCTTTGCTCAGGAGCATGTGAACGGTTTGAACTCCGAGTAAAACATCACCAATCCGCTTGATCCCAGGATATATGAAGCTATCGCGTCCGGAGAGCAAGACGAGAATGAAAGTAGGTTTGCCCCTGGTAGCGTCGAGTTTGTCCTTTATGGTCTTTTGAATGATTTGTAGTGCTCCAGTCCTGGTCCGGTCTCTGTCAGACTGCCGAGGTAAGTTTGGTGTACTCAGTATCTGTGGTGGAGAAGGCACAGTAAGCCCTGCATCTTGACACTTCTGCGCAAACGCCTTGAGAAAATTGATGAGTTTGGGGTCATTGGGTCCCTGGAACTCGTCCCTGGGCCCGTCCCGAACTACCAACACCCACCACATGCCCAAGTTTCCGCCTTTCTGAAACTTTGACTGTAAAATGTTCCAGCTACCGTTCTGGAGCCGCGGCGCGCCCGATCTGTACGAAACGCGCGGGGGAGGTAACTCTCGGCCTGGTACTACAGCCATCTGGGGTTCAATAGTGATACCGAATCCGTTCAGTGGTGCTTCGGCTGGATGATGACCTAGAGCTCGTAATCCTGTCGACATGATGGCATTGGCATTCACTGCAGGTGGTTGACATGCATGACGTATCATCTGCGCGGTCTCTTGTTCGTTCAGCTTTCCGTAGGGCTGCCCTGGGATGATGTTGCAGATCTCAGCAGGCAGGTAAGTCGGCGTCTTGGCTCCAACGTTGACCACTGGTAGATCATCGGCGTGTCTGAGCTGTATTCGATACTCTTGGATAACGTCAACCATTCGGCAGAGCGGGAGCACAGAGAAGATGGCACTCACTTTCTCTCATGTACTGTTCGACCGATATTATCTTTCCATCGCAATCGAACGTGGTCCGTCTGGCACTACTTTGACCGATGTCTCTGACAGTGTATCGCCTTGTATATCCAAGGTGAGACGTGGCAACCTTGATGCCCCGAGCGAAAGCGGTAGGCATGCCCCCTCTTGTATTCTGTTGGAATGCAAGCATGGCGTCGGCAAGATTTCCAGGAATATAGAAGGCTGTCATAGCAACGTTCACATTAACCATCAATTGGTTGTGCGCAGGCCGCACAGACGTGAAGAATCCCTGCCACGCCTCTACTCCAAGCGCAATCGGAATCCCGCCACGCGCAGTCGGAAAGAAATACCGATTCTTCCCAACTCGCATACCGGTGTGCGAAGGGTGCTGCTGGAGCACAATATTCAACGCTGACAAAATCGGCGCAAGGTCCGTGTCACGCTGAGCAACGTCGCCGGACAGGTACCTATGGTGGCTAATGAGCTTCCCTCATTCCCTGTGATGGTTCACGTCGAGCCACTTACTCAGTTAGTTGTCTCATATCGAGGTCCCTCTGAAACGTGATATCGACGGTGTACACTTTCGCGCCTTGCCGAGGGCCCTGTTCACCGTCTTCAAAATATGGAATACGCAGAGATAATGGGTCAGGCAACTTCTTAGCAGACACCAAGCGCTCGCTCCTGTCGTGAGCGATGTAATTTCTGTGGGCCTGATACTGCGATTGCATCTCTATGAGGTCGAAAAGCCTCCTCTTCTCACCGCCTACGACGTTCGGGGAGATTGTGATCTTGTACTCATAGACAACACCCTTGGGTACCTTGACCGGAAAGAAATTTGCTCGAAGGGTGATTTCCCTGCCGAGAGTCCCATACCCGGGACGTAGAGGTCGCTCCGGTGAAATGGCCAGTCCTTTGAAAGCGGCGACAAGCTGATCAGCGGCAGCATTTCGCTGCCTGTCGATGAGGGCCGGAGTACCAGGCGAGTAGATAGTGGAAGTGCCACCTTGAGGAGGGCCGCCTTGAAATCCACCCCCTCGGCCGCCCGCGGAAGAAAGGGCTGGGCTGCCCCTACCTCCCCTGCTCCGCCCTCTCGGACCGAATCCTCTGTCACCAGCAACGGAAGAGGCGGGACTGCCTTGTCCGCTCCCCTCGCCTCTGCCCCTACCTCTACCGGGTCCAGATTGGTCTCCTCTGTAAGGAGGCCCACCTCGGAAACCGCCTTGAGGAGTTCCCCCTCTAGGTGAGCCGCCAGCAGCAGGGCCACCTTGAGAAGGACCGCCCCGAGGAGGACCACCTGCACCTCGAGCTCTACCTCTTCCGCCGCCTCGATTGCCTTGGTTGCTCATAGTCTTGGAATGTTGAGAAAGAATGGGATGCGATGCTGCCTGTTGACACGCAGGACGCGCGTTCTAAATATCCTGCGCAGGCGCGGCTATCACGGCCTTTTGTCTAGGCGAAGCGCAGGTCCAGCACGGCACTTTCGGCGGAAGCCGATACTGCCCCACGCCACTGCCACTGTGCCAGTCGTGCAACCCTGAGCGCTGAACGCTGAGCTTGCAAGCTGACAGCGTTGCATGTGCAGATCTTGCGCACAGGGGTCATGGTGTACCTCAATTAGAGAAATATACAAGACGTCATGTCTAATGCGACAGGAGGTAGTCGTATCACCTCCTGTTGCATTTGACATGGCGTCCGTCATTTCATATATATTCCGATGCAGATACATGAAGTACGTGGAATGAGATATGATATGACAATCCTGTCCTAAGGCGTTGGGAGATGAAAAAATGTTCTGACCGCTCGATTCAAGTTGCTCCATCGCTTCGTTCATGAAGCGGCAGGTGGATGGCCTGTTGTCGTAGACTATGGAATTATATCTTCGTCGTGGCGGCACAGTATACGAGGTTTCGTATGAAGATCGTTGGCACAGCTAGAGCAGCTGTTGGTCGGCTTTCAGAGTCGCCCATCCATTGGTAGTTACCAATCTCGACCCGAGACAGGCGGCCAGACGAGTGCAGAAGTAATCCGCATGCTGAAGTTTTTGAAGAAGGCGAGAGTATAGCATAACGAAGCTTCGAGAGTTAATAGAGAACAGCCAGAGACTGTTCGGAGAGAGACGCAGCCTGAGCAAGCCAGCAGAAGATCGAAACCAACCACTGGCAACCAGCCAACCTGGCGTGGGAACGTCCAAATAAGGCAAATATTTTGAGACTGGAACTGTGAGCTGGAACATTCGTCTCTAGTCACTAACAATAAGTATACAGCTTCCCGGGTGGTGAAAAAGCTTCAGCTGGTCTGACAGCAGCGGCCTCGGCATAAAAGAGTGTTGATTTTTTCGATCATCTCTGCACGTGTGAAGACGCCGCCACGCACTGCCAGTACTACATATAGCTATATAGTACCGGAGCAGTCAGGCCTCACCGCCGCCACAGGCCCTCAGCAGGCCTTAGGATCCGACGCCAGGTATTTCACGATAACCCAGTTTGCATATACCGCACGGACAGCAACACACTTCCTAACCGAGCATACGTACCCAGATACAGGTATTTGTGCCGTCGCACGATGACGAAGATGTTGGCACCATACGGCACTTGGTGTTCGCCAGTCACTGCCGACGTAATCACCCAGAAAGTCAGTCTAGTTGTATTGTCCAAGCCCAGCGATCGGCGTGTGCAAAGACTGACTACGTCGGTCATCAGTGCACTACCGTGGTAGACGTTATCGTCGATCCTATCAGTTCTACGGTCTATAACCTCGAAGCCAGGCCTTCGGAAGGCGGAAGATGCGTAGTCCTCAAAACTGAGTCAGGTGAAGATGTCTTCGGGGAAGGATGGAACGCACGGAGCTCTGTTCAAGGATACGGTGGAGCTGCCGTGGTCGCATACTCCGACACTATTTACTTCTCACATCTCACCGATGCTCGTGTTTATCGAGTCAGCGCTGGAACGAAACCAGAACCAATTACTCCAGGTACACTCCCCGCACGTTTACTACAGGATTGGAGCCTGTATGCTGACCAACGCCACAGAGAACGCAAACCATTGTTTTACCGACTTCACCGTCCATCCTAGTGGCATATTTCTCGTAGCGATCCTTGAAGACCATACGAATCCCTCCCCTCCGGACATTATTACAACTCTATGTGTGATTAACACTCAGACAAAAGTTGTCTCGACCATTGCGTCAGGCGCTGACTTCTACGCCGCCCCTCGTTTCTCACCAGATGGCCAGTACATCGCCTGGCAACAGTGGTACCATCCTGATATGCCTTGGGAAGGGTCCGAGATTCACGTCGCAAAGGTGGCGTACGAGCCTGAGAAGGGGTCTCATCCGACTCTGACTGTAACGAACGCGAGATGCATTGCGGGCAGACCAGGAACCGTCGGTGTCATGTATCCCTTCTGGGCCTCAAAAGAGCACCTCATCTTTACTTGCGACGAGTCGGGCTACCAAAATCCGTGGTCTTATAGCGTAAGCTCTGATGCAGCAAAACCTATCTTCCCTGTGCCCGTTCAGGAGGACTTCAGCGAGCCTTCGTCTACCTTGGGTCATTCCACCGGGACAGCCTTAGACGATCAGACTTTGCTGTACAGCGCAATCCGAGACGGTCGTAGCATGCTGTACAGGATCGACATAGGTACAGGATCAAAGGAGGGGCTGCAATGCCCATTCGTACATGTATCATGGGTCCGGCGCGTGTCTGCAGGCACGGCCGCCTTCGTAGGCGCGAAGACTACCGAGCCAGCTCGCGTCGTGCGCTGCACTGTCGCTCCCACGGGACCAAGCGCGACATTCACGGATCTAAGCTCGACGACATCCGGCCCCAGTGCTCAGTTTCCGCGCTCCCTGGTCTCCGAGCCCCGACCCATGACGCTTCAGTTGCCCCCTAACAACGAACCACTGCACATAGTTTTCTATCCTCCGAATAATCCGAACTACGACGGTTCATCCACCGAGGGCGAGAGACCTCCGTGCGTGGTGAACGTACATGGTGGTCCGACCAGCAGATCGGTGCCAGCGTTGGATTGGATGAAGCAATATTTCACGAGTAGAGGCTGGGGATGGTATGCTCTCCCATGGTGCTTTAATCTCTTATATTCATAACTGCATTCGAAAATCAGGGTGGACGTTAACTTTCGCGGCTCGTCTGGGTACGGCCGCAAATATATGTGAGTGTCCATTTACCTTGTTTACGTTGTTGTGCTGATCCGGGGTAAAGCGAAAAGCTTGAAGGCAAGTGGGGAGTCGTAGATGTCCAGGACTGCGTCCGAGCAGCCGAGCATCTTGCCTCGACTCTCCAGCTAATTGACCCGAAGCGCACAGTCATCCGCGGAGGCTCCGGCGGGGGCTACACTACCTTGGCAGCTCTTTGCGGGGCCCCGGATGCATTCGCCGCCGGGACCTCCTTGTTTGGGATCTCGGACTTGAGCAAGTTGGCTGAAGACACGCATAAGTTTGAATTGCGGCGCATAGAGAAGTTGATAGGCGGCCGACCTGCGGACATTCCGGACGTATACCGAGAGAGATCACCGGTATTCCATGCTGATATGATCAAGGCGCCTTTGCTGGTGAGTAGGGCTCAAGGGTGTCGTTATATCATGAGTCGGACAAACGGCTTGAGTTGCTAACATTTTCTCCAGATCCTTCAGGGCTCTGAGGACAAGGCCGTCCCTCCGTCACAAGCCGAAAGCATGGTGGAAACCATCAGAAAGCGAGGGGGAAGGGTCGAATACATCCTTTTCGACGGCGAAGGTCACGGATTCAGGAAAGCCGAGAATCAGAAGAAAGCCTTGGAGAAAGAGCTCGGGTTCTACTGCGATGTACTCGGCATCAAAGTGGCTGAGGCAGCATAGCGGGTGACTCAGCCCAACTTAGCAGTACGCCTTGCCGTTGTCTGCAATCCCGCTGCTCGAGGTGTAGTCGTTGAACCTTTAGAAGTTAGCGATTATCGAAGCAGGTGAGAGCCTGCATGATGTATTCGTATTTACTACAGAGATCGAGATTGGATCAGATTCTTCCGTGAGTCAAGTCCACGAGGATTGCAACCCGAAGTCAAGAAATCCAGGCATCTCGAATGTATCATCGATAGCCTAGAGAACCGCGCGGCCGCGGGTAAGGCGGTTCCCGCGACGGCAGTGGAGGATACGGCGTACTAGCCCAGCCCGAACGTTGGGGAGGCGGATAGTATATTGGGTCACCAAGCCTAGGAGGATACCCTGCAGGGTCAACCTGGTAGGGTGCTAAGTGCGGGGCAGCTGGCGAAGGAGGGTATGGCGTCGTCGCAACTGCACCAGGAACGGCATAAGGGACGTGATATGGTGGTGTCGTTGAGGTTCCAGTAAATTGACCATCGTGCCTCGTTCCCGGAACAAGTGGGTACGGGCGGCGATGTAGGGGTCCATCTACAGCTCTACTGGGGAATCTGGCTTTCTTGCCTCCAGCGTCCGCATTTGTCCCTTCTAGCTCCGCTCGACGTCTCTTAAAGTAGGTCTTGGACGCGACGTACTGGCTAGAGCCAGCATCGCAAGGAAGCACTACCTTGTATCCAGGGGGAGGTTTCTTCCCGCGAAAGCGGACGAGTTCGATCACTCCTTGCTCATAGGCAAGACATACCGCGGCAACCTTTGCATCAGCCCCGCTCTTGTACTCCCTTGGCACCGTGAATGACCACGACAACTCTGATGTCGTGTCCAGAGTGACGGTGAAAATGCAGCCGCATGCTGTGATGCATGTAAATAGAGTGCCGAAAGAGAGCTGTAATACAATCTCCTCACCGTCAAGATCCGGCGGACATGTAAAATCCGTTTTCGAGTGTGGCCATTTCTCTAGCTCGGCATCAAGAAGTGCTAATACCCTCCCAGCCAGGCGCCTCATCTCTGAAGTCACTTTGCATGCGACCTCCTTTGCCACTGATGCGATATGTGCCTCCACACCCTGAATTGCTGCCACCAAGCAAACTGCATTCCTGACATCCACCTCTCTCTCCAAGACCGGCTCGACAATATAAGTAAGAGCCTGACTGGACGGTCGCGTCAGACGCAGTACACACCCAAAAAGGGTTCCGTCAGCGTTGGACTCCGATACTGGCGTGAGATCTGCGCGCAGTCGTCCATGAGCACGAGACATCTTCTTGCCCAGCCAATTGATGACGAAGTTGTGCCCTCTGGGATCTCTCCGAAGACTCATGGGTTCGGTAGGGTACGTAGGGAGGGACTTGGCAAACTCGTCTAAAGAAGCAAATCTTCTTCGTATTCGACTAGTCGAGGGATCGTCCTGATTCCTGAGGGTGCGTGGTGCTGGCTGCAGCTGCCCGTTTCCATGCTTGATGAAGTCAAGAACGCCCTGATCGATCGCAAGCATGGCGCATGCCATTTTCGCCTCTTCGTATGTCTTGTATGTGGGCTCGACAGAGTAGCTGCGCTGACACTCGGGCGTTAACTTCACCTGAAGCGCGCAGCCGAACGAGCCTGCGCAACGTGACAACCTATTCGACTGACTGGCAGGACGCTACTCACCGTAACAGAACCAGGAGGGCACGACCAGACCAGCCCTCCATTCCAGACAGCATTCCTCAATGCGCTTTACTGGTTTATACTCCTGTACGGGCTTCAATTCTGGCGTGACGCATGCACTAGGGTCCGACAACGAGAGACCTCCTGCATCGCCGGGCTGTTGTTCGCTACTGCTCTGAGGCTCATAACTACTAATCTGCGGAGCTACCTTTGTAATATCTTGAGGCGTTGCATACTTATTTAGACCGGACGATACATCCCAGGTGGGCTGCAGAGGCGGAGTGTCGACCGCCAAGTACTCCTGTAGAGGGATGGCACCGATCTTGAGGAGATTTTCGTGGACGACAGAGAGTGGCGAACGCTCAATCATCGACAAGTATCAGCCGCTTTAACGGAGTTCGCGTGCGCAGAGGTTTACAGGAGTACTAGTATAAAGAAGCGGCAACGTTGCATGGCTATAGCAGTCTGGAGAAAGCTCGGAACAATGATTTAGCGCCGACTAGGCGATGTGTGTGGCGAAGATCTAGAGTTGGTACACCACAGATACAGTGCTCGGGTTCGAATTTTATACACTGGGAATACTTACGACCATTTGGGCCGCACAGCGATTGAAAGGGTTTGGGGGATAATGTGATTTCGGCATCATCCTGTTTCGTAGTAATACACGCCGTCGTTGTTTGTTATTAATCCGTACTCATGGCACAACCTTCAATGCCTCTTCAAAATCCGCAATGATATCCTTGATGTTCTCAATTCCGACCGACACCTGTATTCAGTATTAACCCCAAGTAACAGGGAAGCGACATGAGCTTACCCGTATCAGATCAGGCGTAACACCTGACGCAAGCTGTTCCTCGGCATTCAGCTGCTGGTGTGTAGTAGTAGCCGGGTGGATCACCAAAGTCTTCGCATCCCCTGTGCTCGGCAAAGCGTTGAGAATACATAAGCTCCCGATGTGTCATATATATTCTGTACAAGTCGTACGTACCGACGTTGGCAGGATTTGAGGCTAACTTCAGCGAGTCGACGACTTTGGACCCGATATCTGCGTCGGCCTTAACACCGAAGCTCAAGACGCCTCCGAACGCGCCTTGTCTCAACAGCTTCTTTGCCAACTCGTGCGAGGCATGGGACGGAAGCCCTGTATACGACACCCACTTCACCTTCGGGTGTTGCTCCAGATATCTGGGCAAGCATCCCAGTTTGCACCATTAGTCTATACAACAGGACAGACAACCCACCTAGCCAAGGCCAACGCATTGTCAGAGTGCCTCTGGGCCCGCAAGCTGAGCGTCTCGAGTCCCTGCAGCAAGAGGAAGGCGGCGAAGGGGTTCATCGAGGCGCCCAGATCCCGGAGGATCTCTACCCGGACCTTAAGCGAGAAGGCTGCGGCCCCAAGGGTACTGAAGACGAGCCCATGGTACCCCTCAGAGGGCTCCGTGAACGAAGGGAACTTCCCTGATTTGGTCCAGTCGAATTTGCCTAGGGACATAGACTTGTAGAGGCGGCCGATGAGATGATGCTTGGGCTTGCTTACCTGAATCAACTATGACGCCGGCGATGGTGGTTCCGTGGCCACCGATCCATTTTGTGGCGCTGTGGACTATACCGGGGTTTGCTTCAGTTTCAGCGCAGAGATCAATGGTATACTACAGACCAACAATGTCGGCACCATAGTCTATAGGGCGAATAAGATATCCACCCATGCCAAAGGTGTTATCCACAATTAGTGGAATGCCATTATCGTGGGCAACCTAGCAATGTAGTCGTCTACGGATATGGTATCGAAGTATCAGAGATAAGAGACGTACCTTTGCGAGATCGGGAAGAGGAGAGATGTTGTACTTCGGGTTCCCGATGCTCTCCACATATATTGCCTTCGTATGTTCGTCTATGGCGGCGGCGAAAGCGGCGGGATCGTCAGAGAGGACGAATTTTACCTTGATGCCGTATTTCTTGAGTAACACTAGACAACTCTCAGATCAGATGCTGTAGGTACGATTACGCGTTAGTACCAACCTTTAAACTGATTGTATGTCTTCGACGGGATGTCAGCAGCTCATGGCTATCGAAAGCCCAAAATATGACGTACACCGCCGTAGAGGTAAGACCTGAAATCGAGTACGGTAAGTCTACGTTACGCGAATCGAGCAGGCGTGATATTTACGTGGAAACTATGTTATCTCCTACGCCCGCAATGGCAGAGATAGCCATGAATTGAGCAGATTGGCCGCTGGCGGTGGCCACCGCGCCGACGCCTCCCTCGAGCGCCGCGATGCGCTTCTCAAATACGCTCTAGCGAGATGAGTCGTGTCGGTTTAGCTCCCCATCATGTACAGAAACTTGAGGTGAAATCGACCTACCACTGTAGGGTTCTCGATGCGTGAGTATATATAACCTTCAGTCCTATATTCGCAAATTTAAGACGATCACAAGAGAGTGGCAAGTGACGAGTTAGTGTACCTGAGACCGAATAGGTCCGCGCCATGCTATGCACGATGGTGTCTCAGCGTCTAGCTATATAACTGACGGCAAACAGAACAAACCTGCGAGTTGTTGAAGGCAAAACTAGTGCTAGCATAGATAGGTGGTGCGCGGGCATTGGTTGCTGGGTCTATATCTTGCCCCGCGTGAAGCTGCAGCGTCTCAAATTCCGGCTCTCTTCGTCATTCATCAGCCAAAACTGTTTCGCAACAGCTCTGCTACTTGCCTGTAGAACCGGTTGGTGGCCATATTGGAAGGAGGAACCCCGTGCAGTGATCCAGGGAAGTCTTCGTGAACGCTCCCGCACTACAAATATAAGTACAGGGATCGATGAGCACATGACGCGACTCTGCTTGAAAGCACGCCATTCTCGCAGACATCTTGCGTATGGGCTATGCCATAAGGGAGACGTCTGCGCGGCGGCGGGTGCTGTAGGCACTCACTGTCGGTGCTCAAGATATGTTTATGGCGTGTTTGTGGCGTGTCGCTTGCCACATACTGATCGTCGGGACTCGGGATAGTTACCGGATGCGGGCCGGTGGCGCTACTAAGATTCAAGCACCATGTCCAACCTATGTCCGAGACTCGGACGTTGAACTCGCACTGGGTACATCACCCATATTGAGCATGCACAAAACTTTGAAAATAATCAGTCAAAGGTCAAACTTCTTTCATGATTGTCCATTGCACAGTCAGTGAAATGAATTAGAATAATACTACTTTTGAGTGCGCAAAAATTTGATTGTGACACAGGATATGATCTTTGTTCAGCACTGTTCAATGAACTTTCATTTGTTTTGCAAGGCAACACTATGAACAAAATTTGACCTTTGTCCGGTTCCTTTCACACTTTCTCGGTGGCTCAATATGGGTATTGTACCCAGTGTCGCAGGACACACCAAATGGTTCTAATGTTGCTGTGACAGAAAAGGTAGGAGCTCAGTTTGGATGATCTTGTTCCTAGAACATACCGAAAGGAGATATGTTACTTTCTGACACATGAGAACGTTCACTCCAAAAAGGTCTGCCAGTGAGTACAAGTACCTTCGTTTTTGTACTCACGCTGGTTCCTCTATCTGACATCCTCTTTCTACTCTCACTGTCTATCATGGCGCAGAAGTTGGCTCCGTACGGTACTTGGACATCGCCTATAACAGCAGAGTTAATCACGCAGAGTGTCAGTCTGTTCCACTAGGCGCTGAAGAGTGTGGCCATGATTACAACAATACTCACAATTAGACCATCAATATAACCGACGTCTTGGTGGATCCTGTCACTGGTGCTATATATCACCTGGAAGAACGTCCGTCGGAGGAAGGACGTGCCGTAGTCGTTGAGACTAGGACAGGCCAAGACGTCTTCGGGCACTGGAGTGCACGAACGGGAGTGCAAGAATACGGTGGAGCGGCCGTGACCGCGTACGGAGGCTTTGTCTATTTCTCGCATGTGGTCGACAACCGAGTGTATCGAGTCAAGAAAGGAGAAGCACCGGAAGCCGTAACTCCAGGTGCGATGGCACCCCACTGCACAGACAGGATATCTTACATCGATATATAGATTATCCCAGCCATCGCTTCGCCGATTTTGCCGTACATCCCCGGTACCCAAGTCTGCTGGTGGCCATCCTTGAAGATCACACCAAACCCGAACCGGCGAACGTGGTCACCCAGCTCTGCATCATCGACACGGACGCGAAGAGCGTCACACCCGTCGTATCCGGGGCCGACTTCTACGCTGTCCCTCGTTTCTCCCCGTCCGGGACGCACCTGACCTGGCAACAATGGTTCCATCCCGACATGCCCTGGGAAGGCGCCGAGATACATATCGCGCCCGTGACCGTACAAGATGGTCAGCTGCACGTCGCTGGGTCCACATATGTTGCTGGAAAGCGCAAGGAAATTAGCGCCACCTATCCCTTCTGGTGCTCTGACGATTTGCTGATCTTTACATCGGACGAAGCTGGTTATCATAACCCCTGGACATACCGTGTCTCTGCGGACAAAGCCGACGCTTTACTACCTACCGTCGTCGAGGAGGACTTCAGTGAAGCAGCGTGGTGGCTCGGTGGATCATACGGGGCTCCCCTTGACGACGGGACCGCGTTACTAACCGCGTTCAGGGATGGGCGTAGTGTCCTCTACATTGCAGACGTAAGGAATGCTGCCTTGACCGAAGTCGACTGTCCATATGTGAACGTGGAGCATATACGCCATGTCGGTGCGGACCAGGTCGTCTTCGTGGGTAGCAAGAGCACGGAACGGCCCAGCGTCGTGCAATGTACCCTCCTGCCGCCCCTCGAAAGTCACATACACCACGCTGAAGAGTTCAGCTACTGCCGCGGACGCGGCACTCCCGTCTGCTATCATCTCCCTGCCTCAACCGCTGAAGCTAAGTGTGCCCCCGGACGACGAGCCGGTGCACGTCGTGTTCTACCCGCCCACGAATCCCGAGTATGCCGGCTCTGATCAGGCAGGGGAAAAGCCACCGTGCGTCGTGAACGTTCACGGGGGTCCTAACTGGAAAGAGTACCAGTGGTTGGACTGGATAAAGCAGTACTTCACCAGTCGGGGCTGGGCTTGGTAACGTTACACCTTGGGTATAGTCTATGTTTCTACTCACTCATCGCAGGCTTGATGTCAACTATGGGGGCTCAACCGGATACGGACGGAAATACCTGTGAGTGAAACCGAGCCCGACGATATCAGTGGCTTACCAAGAGAGTAGCGACCGTCTCTTGGGAAAGTGGGGCATCGTCGACGTGCAGGACTGCGTTCGCGCCTCCCGGCTCCTCGCCGCTCCGCCCTACTCTCTAATTGATCCCGCCCGGGTGGTCATCCGCGGCGCATCCGCCGGAGGGTACACCGTGCTCGAGGCGTTATCGACGTTCCCGGATGCGTTCGCGGCGGGGACGAGCAATTATGGCGTGTCGGACGTCGCTGGTCTCGCAAACGACACGCACAAGTACGAGTCACACTATATGGAAAAGATGATGGCGGGGACCCCCGCTGAGATCCCTGAGGTTTATAAGGCGAGGTCTCCGATTTACCATGCTGAGAAGATCAAGTCCCCTCTCCTGGTGAGTGTCCGCTGCTGTTTTGTATTACATTGACGTCCGTAGATTGAGCCTTGCTTGTGTGCAGATCATTCATGGCAAGATAGACCCGATTGTCCCGTACAAGCAGGCTGAAGAGATTGCTCAGAATATTCGGCGCCGCGTTGGGCGAGTGGACTATGTCCTATTTGAGGACGAGGGACATATCTGGCAGAAGGCGAAGAATATCAAGTTCGCGCTCGAGAGGGAGATTGGATTTTACGAAGGCGTGTTGGGTTTGCGGAAATAGTAGTCAATGTCGATGGAGTCGACCTTGAATCTCAGAATCTGCTGTACTACTACTACACGCCCAGTCTAAAAAAGGGTTTCGGCAAGGTCAGACGCCAGACCCCACCAGGCCCTACGCGTGACATCGACTCGATATAAAAACCGAGGATCAACTTGGCCTCTACTTGACTCGTATGTCGAGTCAAGGTCGGAGTCGGGCATCAAGCTGACATCCGGGCTGGACAACGAGAAAGCAGGTTTTCTGGCCAGCGGGCTTTCACATTTCATACAGCTGCTTGATTTTATTGCTCCTTGAATATGAATAAGAAAATGAAGCATATATTGCAATGCTATCTATAGCTACAGACACTGTGTATATACAGTACATATAATCTTGTAAATACCAAACTACCTGTCGCAGTCACACCTATTAGAGCCCGCCTGCCACAATGAAACAGCACATTCTGCACATGATCATGAGCATAGACCATGATGATATTACAATACACGTACCCGATTCACCCTGACCCCAGACGCACTCCACCGACCAAAGCTCAATATTTGAGTGAATAAGATATCCTTCCGAGTGTTCCTGTATGAATGTCAGTGACGTGTCGGGGAAAGTTCGTCATCACTTACCAGTTAGCAATGAATGTTGGACGTCGCAGCCAGAGCTCTGTCACCCAGGCAGTCCACTGTCTCGTGGTGCGGCGGACGGGCGAGTGAGCGACAAGGAGCGGGAGATCGGAGCGAGAATGAGAGTGAAAGACGGAGTTGAAGAAGTGGAACGACTTGAACCACGGGTGAAGTCGCTCAAGTTCAATCTCCGCTCGAATTCAGTTCGCGTCAGACACGTCCTGTCCTTGAATTTCTCTAAGTCCCACAAACAGATAGTGGGGACTTGTGTAGCACTCCTTACGCCGTAGTACTACATCTGTTCTGGTTACTCTAATCAATCTTATTAATACCTAAAATACTTTGAGGGCTCAAGTCATCCTGTAGTCCAAGGTACAGCCTTTATATGCAGCGCAAGGTATCATCTCTACCTGAGGTTACAAGCTAATGCCCAGTAAAGCCCAAAGAGGATGTCAACTCGGTATCAGGGCGGTCTTGCTCAGATATCCCTCGCTAAGTCTCAAGAAGACGCCGCTCTGACCTCAGCGCTGACATCTCAAATGATGGCGCACACATCTCTGGGCAGAAATGCCGAAACAAGGTAACGTCGGGGTCTACCGGGCCTTCCGAAGCGAGGTCGACGCGAGACCTCGGCTGCGACCTCACGAGAACCTTACGACGCATTGGGCGTGTAGTAGTCTGGTCTTTCGCTTTGTGATCTAAATTATACGCGTGCCAAGCGTGGCGTTCCCAATGGGCGCTAAATCGATGACCCGTCTCTCCGTTGGACTGCTAACTACATGGACACGAAGTCCATGCCACTGCTGTGGAATACTGTGTGTCTTGCACTGCTACCGGTACTTGACTTCAGCTTGAAACTCGGTGCATGGCTGAACGTTCCCCGCTCACTGTCATCCATGAAAACCTATCGAAGATTGGTGCTATTCCTCTGGAGGAATACCTCGCTGCCGACCTTCCCACTTTCCAGCCGGTCTGGGATGTCTCCTCCGGCTTCAACAAGTATTCGACGCCTACTGGTGATTTGAAGCTGATCTCGCAGAGAGCGGGTGATGAATGTCAAAGCGATGGCGAGCTGCATCCCAGTGATTCTGCGAGACTCTCGCGTACCGACACGTCTAGTGAACCTAATGCTCAAGAGCCGGACACTCAGACGGAAGATGGACCAGTCATGCGCATTGCAAATTGCTGCACGGAATGGAGGGCTGGTTTGGTTGAGCCTACTTGGTTGCCAATGCACCGGTATGGCGAGAGACTCCGTACGTGTTTTTCTACGCACGAGTCGAATAGTCGTCATATTTCGCAGGTATGTTCGGTTGTGCACTCCAGATCAAGTTGAGTCCCGAATGTCAGCGCGGTTACTCCGTCGATATTCTATACCGTACCCTCGAAGATGCCACAAGAGCGTGTGCTACCCTGGCGATTGACCAGGGCGTGCTTGACTTCATAAAGTATGGAAACGGCCAGCTGCAGCCAACGCCGCGCACTTCACGGAGTTTGGACGATGTCTCGACTGATCGGACACGAAGGAGATTCGCATCGATACAAGAGTTCGCCGAATCGATTGGAAACCCAAAGACGGACCACATCCCCACCAATTGGCTGAACAAGATAATGACACGTGCTCATGGGGGCTTGCAGGCAAAGTTCATAGTGATATCAGAACCTACCAGTACCACGGCCTGCCCTGGCTATCTACATGGCTGCGTACTGCGTCTGACGCGGCCGTCCGGTCAGCCTCTCACGTACATCCTTGAGCCCGTCTTGCAGAAGCAAGAGGACGTTAAGAATGCAGTCTGCCTGGTGGCGGCGACGCAAGGTGTGGAGGACTATATCGCATCCGTCGCAAAGGAGGTCGAAAGTAGGGTGACGCCTGAGATGAGACGGCTGGCACACGACACCGTTTTACCGCTCCTCACTGCCGAAGTCAAGGCACTACCTTCCGCGAAAATTGAGTACAAGTACTCTCGATCCCATGATGGTAAGCAGACTGTATACCATCTCCGTCTCCTTACCAACTAACGTACGTCGCAGCATGCGGCTGCACTATGAACGTCAGTTTTGCTAACCCCTACTCAATGCCAGAATGCTCGCGATCGTTTACCGTTTCAGTGGAATATAAAGGCGCAACCGATGCGAAAGTCGCCGCGCTCTGTCGTGCCTATGAGGAAGGAGTGATAGAGTTTCTTCGCTTTCGTGGTCAGAAACCTTCACCCCAATCTAAGACTGACCTTGCTGTCGCTGGGCCCAGCAGCCAGGCCACCGCGTCAAACAGACTCGGTAGGAAGCGCAGAGCGGAGGAGGAGGGGACGCATGCGAACGCTTCAGGCAATAAGAAAGCCAAATCTGTCATGATCAGTGGCGCTCCCGCCGAATCCGTGCGACGAGGAAAGAGGCGCGAAGACCTACGGGCTAGGTCCTCTGCGATACAAACAGGCTCAGCACCGCCTTATCATGTCCCTTATGCCATTCCTGGTGCTGTTGCAATAACTCCGTACCCTCCTCCAACGATTGCACCGCACCCCGCTCAGTTTAGCCATCCAGGTTACCCTCCTGTGTATGGCCCGCCTGTACACTATCCCGCTCCACCTCCACCTCCACCCTGGCCGAGGGGGCTATACCCTCCCATGCCTCCTCCGGGGGAACCTCCGGGTGCGCGGTCGCGCAGCTCTTATGGCTATCGATGAGAGTTTCGCTTCTGGGTGTCAGTCCATATTACTTGGCATATCTTCGCAGTGGACGTTCCGCGGCCAGTCCCTCTCCCTCAATATGTCTGCATTGGCTGTTTCAAGGAGGTGATGACGTCCGTGGAACCTAATTAATGGGGTTAGGGCGCGTAGTGCATACAGATATACCTACTACCATGCGCTCTCATACCTTTTCTGACACTTGATTCGCTTGTGTAGGTAGGCCGATCGTGCATGGCAACTTGTACTGAATCACTTGTACTGAATCAGAGCCTTCGACTAGAAATATCAATGTCATGTGAAGTCGGGGAGGACACCGGCCTATATCCTGATGTCTCAGAGATCAGCTTCGCTGGTGGACATCTTGTTGGTCAACGGTCTGATGCTGATTACACGACTCGAATTGCTGTAGGAAGCTGCGATAGCTTGCATATGGCGGGATGCCAGGACGTAGACATCGCGCGCATCGCCACTACTAGAAGCCCGCTCTGCGGCAAGCCCCGCTGCCAACGAGTCCTATAAATTGAACGCCGCACCTTGGTTGCGACAGACATCTTCAGAGTGCGTCGCTGAACATCATGCCTCGTAAACGTGAGCCATACAAAGGCCACCAAAGTAAATTAGTGGTCGCCGTCGACATAGGGACCACGTTCACTGCGGCCTCCTTCTGTATTTTGGAGCCTGGAGTGGTACCAGAATTTCGCGAGGTACGTGGTTGTTATTTCCCCATGGTGGAATATGCTTAAGGATATTCTGAAGGTGCTTCGCTGGAAGAAACAGGTTCGTTGTTTATTCGTTGCCCCGCCCAATTGGAAGTGATTTACTGATTGGCTCGTTACGTCGTTCAGAAAGTCCCGGATGCCAAAGTGCCTTCGGTCATCTACTACAACAAGCAAGGCCAAGTGCAGGCATTTGCAGCCGAGACAGATGAGGAAGAGGTCATCGCCGAGGCTGAATTACGGGATTGGGAAAAGAGTCAGTGGTGAGTGCTCTTCCAATACGGGAAATTCCACTCTTCCCAGACATGACAAAGGTTCAAACTCCACTTGCGACCTGGTTACCTCCCGGTGGTACCTGGGCTGTCGGTGCCTCCACTCCCTGCAAGGAAAACGGTGGTTGATGCCATCACTGATTTTCTTCGATATGTGAAGGAGGAGGTTATAGAAAGCATAGCTTCCTCGTGCGGAGTTGGGAAGGCTTCGTGGATGAGGCTCAGATCTACTCTGAGACTTGTACTCACAACACCGAACGGCTGGGAAGGTAAGCAGCAGCATCGAATGAGGGTAGCCGCCATACAAGCTGGGTTTGTGGGAAAGGATGACGGAAACAGCGTGCAGTTTCTTTCGGAACCGGAGGTGCGAAGCGAATTTTTCTTATGGACGTGACGCTCACTACATTCCTCTTAGGCGGCAGTGTTATACGCAATTGAAACGGGTAGCATGGATGACTGGCTCAAGGTATGTTCACTGCTTCTGATATCCCCTACTTCGCTAACATGTCTTTCCTGCCAAAGAAAGATTCACATCTTCTCGTATGTGATTGCGGAGGTAAGAAGGTCAAATGTATACCGCTGTCTCGCTCAACTGCAAATTTTTTGCCCTTAGGTGGTACGATCGACGTCACGTAAGTGATCACAGTCCCGCAGAATTAGGTTGCCTTTGCCGACGTTCCATACCAGTGGCTATCGGGTAAAGGAAGTCGAACCTCTGTGGTTAGAGGAGACAACAATGCCTAAGTGTATGCTTTCTGCCTGATCTTGATAGATGAGAGAGAGAGAGAGAGAGAGATTCTTTGTATTTATACTGCGAGCAGGCGAACTACTACTAGCGCCAAGGCACAGTACTACTCTACGTAGCGATAAATAGTGATAAATATTTACAACTGAGTTTCAGGAAAACTGTAATAGAGTCCACTATCAACGAGCAGAGTCTTAATGTGTGCGGTTGGGTGTGCAGGGGAGGTCAGCAGAGAGGGTCAAGGTATCATAAGCATAAGAGCATAGAATAATTCCATAGAATAGGTCAAGTAGATGGACGTCTCCTGCGCCTCCGTGTCTGTCCTCGGTTATGCGCCAACGATGGTTCATCTGTCTGTGGATCTGAGTAGACATCGGTATTCGGTGCTACGAAGCGGTCGTCGCCGGACTTGGTGAATGCGCCTGTTTTCGCAATGAAGCGGGAGAGTGCTTTGATACCCGAAGACGTACCCAGGATGTCGCCTACCGTGGGTTGCGAGATGGGCGA